TTTGCATGATATACATTTTTATCTGTACCAAGTATTCATCAATTACCTGTTAGCCTCTAACAATCTCTCCACAGTCAGCTCCCTGACGCTGGAATGGAGATTTGGCAAACCACATATCCGCTCTGCCAGCTCCTTCCTCTTTCTGTTGAGAAGCAGCTGTGGTCTTATTTTTACTCTTTTGTGGGTAATTTGGGTTTCCCCACCTCTGGAATCTTTAAGATTGTCTTGTGCTTGGTTTCCAGCTGTCTTGCCTAGATAAGCTTCTCTTTGTACTTATCACACTTTGAGTTTGTAACACTTCTAGAACTCATGACTTAATTTCTCTTATCAGTTTTTGGAAATTACTGGCCATTATTTCTTTAAATATTATATCTGCCTCATTGTTTCTCCCTGCTTCCTTGGTTCCACAGTTACACAGCATGCCAGAGCTTTCTGTAGTGTCCTCTCTGCCTGCAGCATCCTACTCTGTGCTCTTTATTCTGAATATTTTCTTCTGATCTTCCACACTACTAATTCTCTCTCTAGCCATGTCTAATCTTCTGTGTTTGAAAATGTACTTTTTGGTTCTAGAATTTCCATTTTGTTTATTTTCTACCCATTCTCTACCAAAATTCTTAATCTTGATTCAGTCCTGTGGACATGGACCTGTTCACACGTGAGTGTCAATGGTGTCCTCGTCCTCTTGGACTGTTCTCTGTCTACTCCTTGCCCAGACTGGCTCATGTTATTACCATGGCTTTCCATAATGTCTTACTATCTGGCATGCTGAGTCCCTCTTTGACCTTTGTCAAACGTTTTAGTTATTTTAGGCCTTTATTTTTCCATATAGACTTGAGAAACTCTTGGGTTCTTTTTTTTTTTCAGGGAAACATTCTCTTATTTTATTTTCATCTCAGCAAATGTTCTTATTTGGCATCTGACTGGCATCAAACCGCAGACCTCAGGCCAACAAAGCTGCGCCACTCACAAACTTCCCGTTTGTAGATGCCAATGCCATGAGCATCAGAGCACCTTAGGGAGACCTAAATCTGTCTCAGGTGTGCTAATAGTGCCAGCCACAGGTGGCGAAAAAGTCTGTGAAATTGCAGTCTTTGCTCAGATAGGAAGCCAAGCCGCATCTGGACAGCAGGGTTCTTTTCTCAGGTGACAGATAAGCAGATCGGGCCCTAATGGTGCTGTTATTCAGCATTCTTCTGTCTCTAACTCAGTTGAAATGAAGCAAGGGCCTGTTCTCTCCCACAGCACAGGGGAGGAAGTACAAACTCATTTACACTTTTTAGACCTAACAAAGACAGCTAACAAAGTCTGGTCTGGACTTCTGGATGGAGCAGTGAGTTCTTAGGTTAGCCTTGCAGGCTGGAGGAAATCCTCAAAAGCCCAGATTGGCAGCCTTCGTACAGGATTCCTTTCCCAGGACCCACAGAGAATACTCAAAGCCCATCAGGACATTTTACTCATATTCAGTTTCCGAATGTCAGAGGAGTTCAGAAATGTCTGGCCAGGAGCCCTTCTCAGGATCTCAATTCAGGATTGCCTACTCAAAGCATGAAATAACAGGAAATACGTTTTGAGGATTAAGGCTGTCCTTTTAGCCATGCTGAGGAAACAATTTCAGACATGACTGGTACAGGGGAAACTGGGCACTCAGCGGGCCACAAGCAGGCGCTGCCTTCAGATCAAGACCTCTTTGCTGGTGCCGTGCAGGTAGGGCCTCAGCCAGAGGTCCAGCACTCTAGCGGCCCAACCCTCCCTCTGTGGCACCTCGGAGAGAACGGTGGACGCGACAGGCGCGGATCGCGAGCAGCCGCAGGAGAATGAAGACCGGAGACGTGATCAGGCCGAGCCAGAGCTGCCAAGTCTGCCCCTCCAGTTTCTGGCACAACAGCGTCTCGAAGACGAACTTAAGGCTAAGGACGGTGAGGATCCAGGAGAGGCGGAGCACGGCCAGCCTCTTCTCTCCATCCTGGAAGAGGTGCTCGGACACGATCGTGGTGGGAGCACCGCCAGCCTCTTCTCTCCATCCTGGAAGAGGCGCTCGGACACGATCGTGGTGGGAGCACGGCCAGCCTCTTCTCTCCATCCTGGAAGAGGTACTCGGACACGATCGTGGTGAAGTAGGTGCTGAGCCCATCAGCCGCGAAGAAGGGCACGAACACGTTCCACCAGGAGAGGCCCGGGGCCAGGCCGTCCACACGCAGTCAAGCAGCACGGAGAGCACCGACAGGGCCAGCAGGTGTACGAGCATTTCGAAGGTAGCGAACCCCAGCCACTGCACCTGCTGATGGAGTGAGAAGAGCATCTCGCTGGTTTAGCCGGGCTGGGGCCCAACAGATCGTGCCTCCCGCGGGGCTGAGCCTCCCATCCCTGGGGGCCTCGGAGCCTGCCGCCACCACTGCGCACAAGAGGTGAAGAGCGGCCCCGCCCGCCCCGGCCCTCAGGCCAGGTGTGCTGCCGATTCCTGGGCCAGGCCCCAGACCCAACACTGGCCACTGAGAAGTCTGCCTGCCGCGCACAGACAACATGCCCCACCCGGCCACTCTTGGGTTCTGTACTAGTTTGCTAATAACATAACAAAGTGCCAATGATTTTGTGCTATAAATCTCCTTTCTTACTATTTTTGCTTTATGTATTTTGAGATTGTGTGATTAAGTGCATACAAATTTAGTGTTGTTTTACTATCTTACTAAATTTAACCTACAGATAGTAGGTATAGATAGTAGCTTAAACAACGGACATTTATGTCCTCACAACTTGGCAGGTGGTTCCTCCTGAGGCCTCTGCCCTTGGCTTGTAGATGCATCTTCCCTGTGTCTTCACGTGGTCGTCCCTCTGTGGGCGTCTGGGTCCTAATCTCCTCTTTTTTTTAGACAGAGTCTCACTCTGTTGCCAGGGCTAGCATGCCGTGGTGTCATCCTAGCTCACAGCAACCTCAAACTCTGGGGCTCAAGCAATCCTCCTGCCTCAGCCTCCCGAGTAGCAGCGACTACAAGCATGCGCCACCATGCCTGGCTAATTTTTTCCTATATATTTTTAGTTGTCCAATTAATTTATTTCTATTTTTTAGTAGAGATGGGGTCTCGCTCTTGCTCAGGCTGGTTTCTAACTCCTGACCTTAAGCGATCCTCCCGCCTCGGCCTCCCAGAGTGCAATAGGATTATAGGCGTGAACCACCATGGCTGGCCCTCATCATCTTGTTCAGGACAATTGTCAGATTGGATTAGCACCAACATCAGTGACCGCAGGTAACCTTAATTACCCTTTAATAACGGCCCTATCTCCAAGTACAGTCACATTCTGCAGTCCCAGGGAGTAGGGCTTCAACGTACGCATGGGGGGCGAAATTCAGCCCATAACAGATTCTTTTAAAAATTATGATGAGTTTTTTTATTGTAATTTTATTAGATTTATGGGTCAATTTGTGAAGAACTGTCGCCTTCACAACATGAAGCTGCCCTGTCCTTGCTCCCTGCACCCGTGCAGATCTCCTTTGTGTCTCTAGTAGCTGCTCATGTTCTCCACGGAGGCCTTTTGCACTGTGCAAGGTTGATTGTGGTGTTGGCTGCTCCTGAGACCGGCATATTATTTTACATTTTCCTGCTATTTCTTGTTCTAATAGAGAAACCCCACCATCTTTCATCAAGTCTGAGACTCACATCTGGCTGCAAGTCACAAAACATCCAGGCGGCAATTGCTTAAACAAACGGGACAAGGCCCAGCACTCAGCAATACGGGGTGACGGGGCCGCCCAGCTGTGTCCCGGGGACCCGCCCAGCCACTGACTCGGGGCCCTGCGGTGGCCACCCCGTCCCAATCCAGGCAGGGAACAAGGAAAAAGGACAAGAGCAGAGAGGTTCTGCATAGCCCCTCTTCTTCGTGGGGACAAAGGCCCTCCCCGGAACGGCAGGCACACGTGTCCTGTGGCCCCCCCAGCGGCGGGGCAGGGAGCAGGTGGCCTGTGGGGGTCGGGGCAAGGTCTGGGCTGCAGCCACGGGACCCACCTGCCCTTCCACGGCCACCTTGTCTCTGCCGGCAGCCCTGCCCACCCTGTGTTAAACAGAAGTGGTAAAAGCAGGCGAGCTTTTCTCGACCATACTTCTTAAAAAATACATTTAAAGGCCCCCCACTAAGTACTTCTGCTGACGTTCACTTTTACCGAGTAAATTTTTAAAAATCACTTCTATGACTCGTTTTCTTGGCATTTTACCCCATAAATGAATGTTGATTAAAATCAATACTTTGTCTTCTTTTTTGGAGAAAATCATATTTTCCCCTTTGATCCACTCATTGGCAAAGTACATCCACATACTTTTTGTGAACTAAAATGCTCACCACCACCCCCAACCGACTGACTGAATGGACCCCCTCGAGGCCAAAGGAATATTCTAGGGCAAAGTTGCCTGCCAGGAGGAGAGAGGTCAGACCTGCCTTATCATGCCCCCCTCCCTTCTTGGAGACTTCCTTTGTAACCCATTAACAGGCCTAAGGGTATGCAAGACAAACCTGCAGGTCCTCAATTTATGCAACAAATGGTGGCTTACCTCTGGTAGACAGTTTATGTGAAAACATTCCAAGTCTTTAGACAAAGCTTCATGTATTTAGCCAATTACAATCTAAAGAATCTTTAAACCCACCTATAACCTGTAAGCCCCCGCTTTGAGATGGCCCTCCTTTTTGGGCCAAACCAATGTATGCCTCCCACATATTGATTGATGGGTTTACCAGTAACCCTTGTCTATAAAATGTATAAAAACCAAACTGTAACCCAGCCACAAGGAGTCCACTTGCCCAAGGCCTCTTGGCAGTGGCTCCGGGTCATGGTCCTCAAATTTGGCTCAGAATAAATCTCTTTAAAATTATTTTGCAGAGTTCGGATTTTTTTTTTCGTTGACATTTGTGATACAAAACCACCCTGAACATGACTTCATCATGCGGTACTTTTCGACGCACCATTAAATTCATTTTGTTACCATTTTATTCAAACATAAAAAGCCTAAGTGTTTCCTGTGCTTCCCTCACACACCTTCACACATGCCGGCCACATCTCAGGACAGGCTTCAGAGCCATGAGGCCAGCTGAGAGCCTCCCTGGCCCTTTCCCACCGTGTATATCCATGATTCTGCTTTGTCTCTGTCCTCACCCCTGGAAAACCCAGATTCAGCCCAAAACTGGCCCCCAGGGTGCCAGAGAAATTTCTTTAACTTTACAATTCAATCCTTCAGGGGTTTTGTGGGGGTATTGCAATAATTTGTTATCTCAAAAATTCTTTTTTAGTATTTTTATTCCTTCATCACAGTGCTTGTTCTTATTTTACAAATATATTATCTCCCCCAGTCTCACTGAGTGTCCCCAAGTGGATGGGTGGGGACAAGGCCCAATGTCCACAGGTGAGAAGGGAAAGAGGGTCCCTGAGGCAGGAGCAGACCCTGGAAGGCAAGGTGGCCCCATTTCAAGAGAACCCAGGTCCAACCAGGCAGAGCCCGGGACACACCTCTTGGCTTGGACAGTCAACTTACAGGTGACCCTGCTGTGAAATGGCCATAGGGAGGCCACCTGGTGGGGCCTGAACAGTGGATGAGGCCTGGAACAGCAGAATCACCATAAGGGCCCCAAATCATGGCAAGTGGGGGAGGGGCCCACACCCCCTTGCCCACGGGGAAGGGCACAGACCTGGGAAGGGGGCCTCCTGGCTTGGGGCCCTGGACAGGCATCCTCGCCCCAGAGCATAGGCGCTAAGAGGTGGGCGCTGGGACACATCCAGGGGGTGGGGATGAGGGTGTGAGAAGAGGGAGGGAGGGGCCTGGTGGGGGAGGGGAGGAGGAGGCAGGGGATGATTGAGGAGGAATGAAACGCGGCGGGCCGGTGCCACGGGAATAGGGCCCCGTGTGCCCTGGTGACTGGAGAGTGGGAAGTGGGGTGGGGGCTGGTGAGGCAGTGGATGGTAAGGAGGACGGGGTGCAGCCAGCAAGGGGGCCCGGTTGGCGAGCAGGGCCGCGCCCTCCGCCGAGCCCCACCCATCTCCTCCCACCCCCGTCTCGCTGGGATGGGCCTCGGCGACCGCCCGCCCCCAAGCCCAGGGCGGAGGCCTCGCGCAAAATCCGGCGCCGCGGCTGGCGCTCGGTGAAGGATCTTCCCTGCAGCAGCCGCTCTGGGCCGCGGTTCCGACCCGAGTCCGCTGCGGGTAAGGCCCGGCGGTGGGGCCCAGTTGCGAGCCGGAAGCTGGGACTGCGCCCGCGGGCCGAGGTAGAGGCGCGGCGTGGGACCGGCGGTGCGGGGCGGAGGGCCGAGCCGTTGGCCTGATCGCTGCGCCCGCAGCCGGCCCAGTCCTTGGTCAGGCTGCTGGGCCGGGCGGCAGGAAAGGCGAGGAGCATGAGGCGGGGACTGCAGGGGTGGTCCACAGGGCCCAGGCCTGCCCGGACCAAGCCCGAGCGGTGTCACCAGCCGCGCGTCCTCCGCGCCGCTGCCCTGGCCCGTGCCCAGTGCGCGCTGCCCCGCCGCGGGCCCGGAAGGCTCGGAGCCAAGGCTCTGAGGGGTCCGGGATGCCAGGCCCAGGCACGCGGCCGGTCCCTTCTCCGGACCCTGACCTGGGTGAGCCCCGGGTCCCGGATGCCAAGCCCTCCAAACGCAACGCCCCACCCCCGACGAGGCGGGTCCACCCAGAGAGCATTTGTGCAAAGCCCAAGGAGCCCTGTCCCCAGGCTGAGCCCCCTGAGCTTCATAGCTGAGGTCCGTTTCCCTCTTCCTGCAGGTTTTGCCCCACGAAGATGAACTGGGCAGCCGCGACCTGCTGGGCTCTGCTGCTGGCCGCTGCCTTCCTCTGCGACGGCAGCGCAGCCAAGGGCGGCCGTGGAGGGGCTCGGGGCAGTGCCCGGGGAGGGCGCGGGGCGTCGAGGGTACGCGTGAGGCCCGCGCCTCGCTACAGTGCCCCGGGCTCCTCCCTGCGCGTGGCAGCGGCGGCGGCTGAGGGGGGCGGCCGCGGGCCTGGCAGCCGGGACAGGCTGGAGGAGGGCGTCGGGGCCCAGGGAGTACGGCCTGGAGGAGGACGAGGACTGGGTGCCTGGTGGCAACGGGTCTGGAACAGCCAGGAGGAGGGCGTCGGGGCCCAGGGAGTACGGCCTGGAGGACGACGAGGACCGGGTGCCTGGTGGCTACAGGACGGGACGGGACATCACCAGCTACCCAGCGTGGACTTGGGGCACAGGGCCCAGGACGCGCCTCTGCCTGCTGCTGCACGGAGCCCTGGGCGCCCTGAGGCTGAGGCAGCCCTAGGCCTGGCTGGGCTCCCGGTCCAGATCCGGCCCACAGCCCACACCGTCACCCAGGGCGCCCTGGCCCACTCGAGAGGCCACTGTGCTGAGCACGCCTGCCCTTGGCTGCTTAGGCACTTGGGGCCCACAGCACTGCCTGGACATTCTGGCCAGGGGGCAGGAGCTGCAGCCTCTCCCACCCATGGACCTGCTGTCCCCCAAAACAGCAGATTCAGCTCAAAACTGGACCCTGAGTTCTCTGCCCTTCTCTCTCGCATTTGCTGTCTTTTGTCAGAGAAATTACCTTAACTTTACAATTCAATCCTTCTGGGGTTTTGTGGGGGTTTTGTAATAATTTGTTATCTCAAAAATTCTTTTTTAGTATTTTTTATTCCTTCATCACAGTGCTTGTTCTTATTTTACATATACATTATCTCCCCCAGTCTCTCTGAGTGTCCCCAAGTGGATGGGTGGGGACAAGGCCCAATGTCCACAGGTGAGAAGGGAAAGAGGGTCCCTGAGGCAGGAGCAGACCCTGGAAGGCAAGGTGGCCCCATTTCAAGGAGACCAGGTCCAACCAGGCAGAGCCCGGGACACACCTCTGGCTTGGACAGTCAACTTACAGGTGACCTGCTGTGAAATGGCCATAGGGAGGCCACCTGGTGGGGCCTGAACAGGGATGAGGCCTGGAACAGCAGAATCACCATAAGGGCCCAAATCATGGCAAGTGGGGAGGGCCACACCCCCTTGCCCGGGAAGGGACAGACCTGGAAGGGGCCTCCTGGCTTGGGGCCTGGACAGGCATCCTCGCCCAGAGCATAGGCGCTAAGAGGTGGGCGCTGGGACACATCCAGGGGTGGGGATGAGGGTGTGAGAAGAGGAGGGAGGGCCTGGTGGGAGGGGAGGAGGAGGCAGGGGATGATTGCTGAGGATTGAAACGCGGCGGGCCGGTGCCACCGGAATAGGGCCCGTGCGCCCTGGTGACTGGAGAGTGGAAGTGGGGGGGGCTGGTGAGGCAGTGGATGGTAAGGAGGACGGGTGCAGCCAGCAAGGGGCCGGGTTGGCGAGCAGGCCGCGCCCTCCGCCGAGCCCACCCATCTCTCCCCACCCCCGTCTCGTGGGATGGCCTCGCGACCGCCGCCCCCAACCCAGGCGGAGGCCTCGCGCAAAATCCGGCGCCGCGCTGGCGCTCGGTGAAGGTCTTCCCTGCAGCAGCCGCTCGGCCGCGGTTCCGACCGGGTCCGCTGCGCGTAAGGCCCGGCGGTGGGGCCCAGTTGCGAGCAGGAGCCGGGCTGCGCCGCGGGCCGAGGTAGAGGCGCGGCGGGGGAACCGGCGGTGCGGGGACCGGCGATGCGGGAGGAGCCGAGCCGCCGGCTGATCGCTGCGCCGCAGTCGCGCCAGTCCTTGGTCAGGCTGCTGGGCCGGGCGGCAGGAAAGGCGAGGCATGAGCGGGGACTGCAGGGTGGTCCACAGGGCCAGGCCTGCCCGGACCAAGCCCGAGCGTGTCACCAGCCGCGCGTCCTCCGCGCCGCTGCCCTGGCCGTGCCAGTGCGCGCTGCCCCCGCGGGCCGGAAGGCTCGGAGCAAGGCTCTGAGAGGGTCGGGATGCAGGCCCAGGCACGCGGGCGTCCTTCTCCGGACCCTGACTTGAGGGAGCCCGGTCCGGATGCTAACCCTCCAAACGCAACGCCCCACGCCCGACGAGGCGGTCCACCCAGAGAGCATTTGGTGCAAAGCCCAGGAGCCCTGTCCCCAGGCTGAGCCCCTGAGCTTCATAGCTGAGGTCCGTTTCCCTCTTCCTGCAGGTTTTGCCCCACGAAGATGAACTGGGCAGCCGCGACCGCTGGCTCTGCTGCTGGCGCTGCCTTCCTCTGCGACGGCAGCGCAGCCAAGGGCGGCCGTGGAGGGGCTCGGGGCAGTGCCCGGGGAGGGCGCGGGGCGTCGAGGGTGCGCGTGAGGCCCGCGCCTCGCTACAGTGCCCCGGGCTCCTCCCTGCGCGTGGCAGCCGCGGCGGCTGCGGGGGCAGCAGCAGGGGCGGCCGCGGGCCTGGCGGCTGGAACAGGCTGGAGGAGGGCGTCGGGGCCCAGGGAGTACGGCCTGGAGGACGACGAGGACCGGGTTCCTGGTGGCAACGGGACTGGACGGGACATCTACAGCTACCGAGCATGGACTTCGGGCACAGGGCCCGGGCCTCGCCTCTGCCTGCTGCTTGGAGGCGCCCTGGGTGCCCTGGGGCTACTGCCGCCCTAGGCCTGGCTGGGCTCTGGGACCAGATTGGGCCCACAGCCCACACCCTCAGGCAGGTCCCTCTGGCCCACTCGAGAGGCCACTGTGCTGGCCACCCCTTCCTTTGGCTGCCCTTAGGCTTGGGGCCCAGAGGGCTGCCTGGGCATTCTGGCCAGGGAGCAGGAGCTGCAGCCTCTCCTACCCACAGACCTGCTGTCCTCCAACCTCCCCAAGTCCGTCCCCAAACTCCCTACTTCCCTCCTACCAAGGACCAGCAGCCCTGTGGGCTCCAGGGTGTTAGGGTCCCCCCCAGCCAGAAAGGCTGGCAGCAGCCTGTGGCTCCTGTACCAACCAGCCACTTGCCCTCCACGCTCCAGAGCTGCCCAAAGGAAGGTGCCAAGACCAGGCTCAAACCACTCCTGCTCCCTGGCCCTGCCCACAGACAGAGCCGACCCCAAGAAGCCACCCTCAAGCTGGGCTGACTCTTCCCCAGCAGCAGACAATGGACCAAAGGAATCCAGGATTTGGGGGAAAGGGAGGGAAGAGAATGTGCGCTCCAGTTGTGCAGAAAACGTTCGGTGCTAACCTCCGGCCCAGAAGAGCAGATCCTGAGGGTTTCACAACCCAGGAACATTCCCACGCAGGGAAACCATCCATTCCAGGAATGCCTGTCTGGGCTCCCAAACTCGCCTGCCCACGGAGGCTACCTGGGCCTTGCCAGACAAGCCCTCACTCGAGGCCGTGCCCCCTTCTCTGGGCAGGCTCCCTGCAAGACCCACTGCCAGGGGCGGTTCCCCCCTCCCTCAGGGCCTCTTGGCTCCAACCACTTGAAGCAAGTCAGTTTCTTGGGACCCATTTTGGGGAAGGAAAAGAACACATTCCAGAGCTTCCCACTTCCTTTGAACTTCAGGTTCCCACTCGGGGTCACACAGTTCTCACCTCTACTAAAGGTATGGAAACTGCCAATCCCACGCAAGAGCCCTCCCTGGGCACAGCACGAGCTGCGAGGCTCCTGGTCTTGCCAGCAGGCATCTCCCTCTTGGAAGCAGCTGACAGCCTGGTTGGCAGAGGCCAGGAGCTCAACTGAGACCCATGGGCCACCCACAGCCACCAGCAGGTCCTTGGAGCAAGGGTGACCACAGCAGTGGGGCCAGCACCCAACAGGTGCAGCCAGAGCTAAGAACCAGCCTCGGCTCAGCAGCAAGGAACTCACAGAAGGCTGAGCCCCCTTCACCACTGAGGGTGGTCTGACAGCCAAGGGACATTCTGAGGACAAGGGAGACACCCAGAATGGCCTTCAGGAAGCGCTGAGCTAGTCCTGACAAGGCATTTTACGTCTCTGTGCAAAAGACCAACCCTTTGCTGCTCTGATGCCTGCTAGCCTGGCTCACTCGGTGGAGCTCAGCACCGCAGGGCCTCCGCTGTGTCAAGTTCTCTACGTCTCTAACCACCCACCCCAAGGTAGTGGCTTTTCCCAGGGCCCCGGCGCCCTGCAGCCGTGGGATCTCAGCCCTCCACTCTCAGGCACAGCTGCCTGCCCCCTGGATCTCCCAGCCTTTGGACTCAGCTGGTGGGTACCAGCATCAGGCTGGCACCGCCCAAGGGCCTGCCAGCCTCTGCTCTCCCCAGCACTTGGGTCTGACCAGGTGACGGTCTGAAAGCTACTGGCAAACCCTGGACCCAGCACTTTCCTCCAAACATCGGGGCCCTAAGCCGCAGGCGGCAGCTCCCCACAGCTCTGCAGGTCCACACTGCCAGTGTTCTCTGGGCATCAGCTGCTCCTCCATCCCTTCCAGACCAAGCTCAGTGCCACCAAAGACCAGAAAACCGGGGACAAGCCCTGCCCAGGGTCCTCAAAGGCAGAGGTTCTGCCATTTCCCTCAAAGGAGGCAAGAGAGTCTGAGTGTCCCAAGGGCAGGGAGACCCACTAGAGCCCCCTTGGCTGCTCGGACACCCCGCTGGACCCCCACACACCACGTGGCACAGGAGCTGACGTAGTTCTAGACACTGGAAACATCCTCTTCCGTGACAGTTTATTTGGCACAGCCATGGCTCCATGTACGTCCTGCCCAGGCAGGGTTCTGGCAGGAAGAGATGGTGCTGGGGGTCATTTCAGGCACCAAGTGTGCAGGGCATGGGGCAGCCACATCTGGAGGGGCCAGCGGAAGACACCAGCCAGCCCCAACGGGATACTTATGCAAGACAAGAGGCGGGACACCCACGCAAGACAAAGGCTGGCTGCACACTGAGCACCAGCAGAGACACAGCCAGGCCGCCGCTGGACAAAGATGAGGCCGGAACTTCCGAACAGCCGGCCCCAGCCCCAGTAGCACTTCCAGAGTCTGCCCCTGACACAAGCCCACCAGCCTGCCCCGGCCCTTTCCGAGGATGCAGGTTGGAGGCCGGAACGTTCCTCAGACTCCTTCAAGTGCAGGTGCCCTGGCTGGGAGGGCCCTGCAGCTCCCCCCAGCCCTGAGGAAACACAGACCCACTGTCCCGTCAGCTGGGAGGTGCTCGGAGGCCCGGGGTCTCCACTGCCCACACCAGGCGCCCTCCAGCCCGTATGCAGCAAAGCCATGTGCAAGCCCCCAAGGAATGGGTCCCAGGGCGCTGAGGGGAGAGGCCAGTCCTTGGGCTTTGCTACTCAAAACCCCTTGTCCCTGTCTGTGAGCACATTCGCTGGTGTGTGAAATAAACTCTCTGCTGGCACCGAGGCTCCCTGGTTGTTGGGGGGCAGGTCTCCAGTCTGAGAACCTGACACGAACCCTGGTTGCCAACCCACCTGTTTCCCATGTTCCAAGTGTGAGAGGGGCTTCAACACATATGGGCCCAGTCTGCAGGGCTGTACAATTCATTGGCCAATGAAGATAGGCCTTCTAATGCAGAACTTTAAAAATGACAGAGTACAGCTTAACTCAAGAGACACTGAGCAGGAACGTCACTGCTGGACCAGGCACTCGGGACACTCAGATGCTGGCAGATGCCCCTGTAACCAGGAGCCAGCCAGGTGCGGTGGGGCCAGGAGCACCACGTCCCTTCCTGCAGCAGGGACCTGAGTCATGGTGGCTGGCGTGGAGCTTCTGAAAAGGGGTAGGCTGTCGCAAGCCTCAAACACTCAGGCCAGGCAGGTCTGGGAGGCCACATGCCCAGTTCAGGGGTCTGTCTCGGCCAGGGGGTGGCCCCGCAGAACATCCAGGTCCAGCATCACGGGGCCCAGCTGCCCCCTGCGGAAGGTCCGAAGGAAGTCTCGCGCTGCCTCGGGGTAGTTCGGCCGAATGACATTCACATCACCTGGGATGATAGGGTCTGCTGAGGAGGGGCCTTCAGGGTGGGCCCTGCCTGAGGGACGGGCCCTAAGGGACCCCAAAGCAGCATCAGGGCAGCCTGGGGAACCTGGCATCTTCAGGAAGAACCTAGAGCTCAAGCCACGTCACCGGGAGCCTCCAGAGGCCAGAGAAGTAACAGGGCCCAGGGCCAGGGCCAGAGCCAGTTTTTCCCCCTGGAGCCTGGGCCAAGCTCCTTCCCCTCTAAACCTCCCATTTCCCTGCCCCAAGAGCCATTCCCTGCCCCAAGAGCCATTCCCTGAACAGCCATCACATATCTCTCTCCCTGCCTCTTCTGAGGATGTCGGGGAGTCCCCACCAGGTGTCAGGGTAAGGGCCCCCGTGTCTGCAGCCTCACTCACCTGTGCCCGTGAGCACCTTCACCTTCTGCATCTTCCCCAGCTTCACGGCCACACTCTTCAGCACACGCTCAATGTCGTCACAGGGGGCACCCAGGCCATAGTGCTGCACATACCTGCAGGCAGGGCCCGGTCAGCACTGCAGGCCCAGTACTCACACCGCACCAGGGCCAGCTCCTCCCACCTAAAGGCCACCCCTGGCTCCACAAATGACGGCCAAGCACCACAGGGGTGACGGCCACCTCAGGCAGTGCCGTGGGGGAACTGGGCCCTATGGGGGAGCTGCTGTCCCACAGTCCCCACGCTCTGTCCCGTGTGGCCATGGCCAGAGCTCTTGGCTGCCGTGGGTGACATAATGGCCATTCACATGCAGCGGGCTGCACCCATCCTGCCCGAATGCAGGGCAGGCCTCTGCACAGGCTCAGGCCCTGGACGCTCATCTGCTGCAGAGGATGGCACTTGGCAGCTCCTAGGCAGCAGGATACCTGTGCTCTCTCCACCTGCTGGAGAGGGGATCGCCTGACCAGCGTTCCCTGCAGCACAGCTGACCAGGTGCCCACCCTGCTGAGCACCACCCATGGTCCCCACAGGCACCCCATGCCCCACAACGCAGGGTCTCGGCAGACAGGCCTGAAGGGAAAGGCCACGCAGAGATTAGCAGTGAACACGAACCTGTCGTGAGCCCCGGCACCAGGAGACTGACCCGCACCCAGCACTCTCCCAACCTACAGATGGGGGACCTGCCTCAGGCTCCCCAGAAGACAGGCTCGGCCTCAAGCAGGTGGCACATGTGGACCTGCCAACACCCCTGTGGCCCAACAAACCAAGACAGGAGCCCTAAGAAGCATCAGATCCTGAGTGATGCACTGTCCCAAAAGGTGTCTAGGAGGCCTCAAGTCTGAGCTCTGAATCAGATCCCCAAAGGGTCCCCTGGTGCTCCCTGTCCTATCCCTGGTGCTCCCTGTCCTATCCCTGGTGCTCCCCGTCCCGTCCCTGGTACTCCCCGTCCCGTCCCTGGTGCTCCCCGTCCCGTCCCTGGTGCTCCCTGTCCTATCCCTAGTGCTCCCTGCCCCTGGGCACTCCCTGTCCTATCCCTGGTGCTCCCCGTCCTATCTCTGGTGCTCCCCGTCCCGTCCCTGGTGCTCCCCGTCCCGTCCCTGGTGCTCCCTGTCCTATCCCTAGTGCTCCCTGCCCCTGGGCACTCCCTGTCCTATCCCTGGTGCTCCCCGTCCTGTCCCCGGCGCTCCCTGTCCTATCCCTAGTGCTCCCTGGCCCTGGGCACACCGTGTCCCCAGCACCCCCGAGCAGCTGTCCCAGGAGAAAAGAGCAGCCTCAAGACAGCTCTGGCTGACCACACCCCAGACCTGCCAGAGCTCCTGAGAGGACCAGACTGTTTCCAAGTAACTGTCCCAGAACAGAGTTCAAGAATGTCTACAGGAATACAGATATCCATCACCTAACAGGGGAAAAATCAAAATGTACAGCATCCAAGCAAAAGCAATCGAGCCTGCCAAGCACAAAAGTAGACACACAATGAGAAGAAAAATCAATTAATAAAAACTGACCCCCACGGACCCATATGGTAGAATTCAGATTTGACATGAAGCCAGTTAACTGCATCCCATGTGGTTATAAAGCAGAGATACAAAAGGTATTTCAAAATGATCCAAACTAAACTTCTAGAGGTGAGAACCATGAAAGACACCTGGATGGAACGAATGCTTAGACGCTGCAGAAGAAACACATGAACCTGCAGACCCAGCACCAGAAACGGCAAACAGAAGAAAGCACACGGGCGGTGGCGCAGGGCAATTGGCCAGGACCTGGGCACGGGGTCCGGGTGGACAGCAGGGGCAGGAAGACACTTGTAGAAATAATGCTTCAAAACCAGCTACATTTGATGAAAACTGCAAAGCCACAGAGCCAAGAAGCTCAATGAACTACAAGCACAAGAAACACAGAGAAAACTGTACCAAGGCCAATCATAATCAAACTGCTCAAAAGCAGGGATAAAATCTCAGAAGCAGCAGGGGAACAAAGACAAACATGAATTTCTCACCAAAAATGACCTAAGTGAAAAAGCAACACGGGCCGGGCGCGGTGGCTCACGCCTGTAATCCTAGCTCTCTGGGAGGCCGAGGCGGGCGGATTGCTCAAGGTCAGGAGTTCAAAACCAGCCTGAGCAAGAGCGAGACCCTGTCTCTACTATAAATAGAAAGAAATTAATTGGCCAACTAATATATATATACAAAAAAAAATTAGCCGGGCATGGTGGCACATGCCTGTAGTCCCAGCTACTTGGGAGGCTGAGGCAGGAGGATTGCTTGAGCCAGGAGTTTGAGGTTGCTGTGAGCTAGACTGACGCCACGGCACTCACTCTACCCTGGGCAATAAAGTGAGACTCTGTCTCAAAAAAAAAAAAAAAAAAAAAGCAACACGTGTGCAGTACTAAAAAAACATCAACCTGAAGTGTCGTGCAGGGGGAAAACACCTCTCAAAATGAAGGTGAGATAAAGACATCTTCACACAACCAGAAGCTTAAAAAATCCATCACCAGCAGATCTGCATTATGATCAATACTAAAGGAAAACCTGAGGAAACCTGGGTCTACACGAAGAAATGAATTACACCACGATGGGTAAATAAATATACAAGATTCTTTTCTTACACTTTTTGTTGCTTTAAAGATGATTATATAAACCAAAAATAATAAAAGTATATCTGGACCTTATACAATTTTTAAAGGTAAAAATATATGATGATGGTGGCACTAAGGTTAGGATGAGAAAAACAGAAATATATTATTATGAAGTTATCACTTAAAGATGTACTATGAATCCCAAAGCAACCTCCCTTCAAAAAGTTATAGGCCAGGCAAGGTGGCCCATGCCTGTAATCCCAGCACTCTGGGAAGCTGAGGAGGGAGGATTGCTTGAGGTCAGGAGTTCAAGACCAGCCTGAGCAAGAGCGAGACCTCATCTCTACTAAAAAAATAGAAAGAAATTAGCTGGACAATTAAAATATTTATATAATATATATATATATACACACACACACACACACACACACACACAAATTAGCTGGGCATGGTGGCCCATGCCTATAGTTCCAACTACTAGGGAGGCTAAGGCAGGAGGATCACTTGAGCCCAGGAGTTTGAGGCTGCTGTGAGCTAGGCTGACACCACAGTACCCTAGCATGAGCAACAAAGTGAGAGACTGTCTCAAGAAAACAAAAAAAGTGAAAATAAAAACAATTACCACTTACAACAACATCAAAATACGAAAGAGTTAAACAATAGGGAATGATATCACCAAAATGGTGAAGTAGAACCAATCTGGCTTCACTCCCCAACTCCTACAGAAAACCAAAACCAAATATCCAGCACCAAGCTTACCACCAGCAATGTTCCAGAACTCAAACCTGAGGATGTGATGTTCCCAGGGCCACAAAGAAGTGAAAACCTCACAGCAAACAGTGAACTGCAAAGAACTTCAAACAAGCACACTCAAAAAAACCCAAAACAAGCCAGACAAAGAAGACTGGAATAATAATCCTTCAATATGGAGCCACAGGAATATGCCCACAGGAAACAACAGCAAACAGACCTGTGACCTCCCCAAACAGAGAAAGCCAGCAGCCAGCAACTGGCCCTAATGAGATGGTAACACATGAGCTCTCAGAGCAAGAATTCCAAAGAACAGTTCTAAAGAAACTCAGTGAACTCCAATAAAACACAGAAAAACTTAAAACTTTATCAGAGAAATTCAACAGAGATTGAAATAATGATAATTTAAAAACAACAAACAGAACCAAGAATACATTTGCTGTTAGAACTGATACATTCAGTAAAGATTCAAGGTACAAAAACAACATACAAAAATCAGTACCATTTATGTATACCAATAGCAAATAATCTGAAAAAGAAATCAAGAAAACAACCCCACTTACAATATCTACCAAAAATATAAAATACCTAGGAATAAATTCCATCAAAGAAGTGAGATCTCTATAAGTAACACTATAAAACACTGATAAAAGAAATTTAAGAGAACAAGAAAAAAAAAGGAAAGATATTCCATGCTCACGGATTGGAAGAATATTTTTAAAATGTCGATACTACCCAAAGCGACTTACAGATTTAATGCAATCACTGTCAACATACCAATGACTCCACGCAGCAGTGAAAAGGGACGAACTACTGATGCAGGTGACAGCACACTGCAACGTGTCTGCACAGTGACACGCCACGCAGCAGTGAAAAGGGACGAACTACTGATGCAGGTGACAGCACACTGCAACGTGTCTGCACGGTGACACTCCACGCAGCAGTGAAAAGGGATGAACTACTGATGCAGGTGACAGCACACTGCAACGTGTCTACACAGTGACACGCCACGCAGCAGTGAAAAGGGACGAACTACTGATGCAGGTGACAGGGACGAACTACTGATGCAGGTGACAGCACACTGCAACGTGTCTACACAGTGACCTCCACGCAGCAGTGAAAGGGATGAACTACTGATGCAGGTGACAGCACACTGCAATGTGTCTACACAGTGACACGCCACGCAGCAGTGAAAGGGATGAACTACTGATGCAGGTGACAGCACACTGCAACGTGTCTACACAGTGACACGCCACGCAGCAGTGAAAAGGGATGAACTGATCCACGTTACAATGTGCACAATTCTCAAAACAGTTATGCTGAGTAAAAGATGCCAGACATGGCCTTTCTGTTAAGACAGGGGGTCATTTGTTGTCTGTGAACTTATCGTACTTTACTAAATAAACTTCACCTTGTGCTTGCCTCAAGAAAAAGTAAAAAGAAAGGCACCAGACAAAAGAGAGGACACCCTATATAATGGCGTTAATTTGCAACTCTAGAAATGCAGCTCAGCCTGCAGGAAGAGAAAACAGGGGCTGCCTGGTTGTGGGGAGAGGCAGGAAGGAGTGATCGCAAGAGCACGAGAAACTCTGGGCTGCGGAATGATCACTTTCTGGATTTGTGTGTTGGCTGTGTGTTGGTTGATACATCCATATGTCCAAACTTACCTAATTTTAAATAATGTACGTATTATTGTCTATAATACCTTTATAATGCTGTTGTGTTTTTTTTAAACTGTTATTTTCATTTATTTTATGTTACATCTATTCCCGTGCCTTAAGTTTTTGTTTCTTCGGTTTCTTCTGGGATATCTTTTTCTTCTGTGCAACCTCCTCTTCTGGTTTTGGAACAATTTGTTCCTGTTCAGTGAGGATCATCTCGATGTGCCGGGGGGGCTCATGTAGGGATTAGTCCGACCATGAGCTCTGTAAGTTTGGCGACGCATCTTGGGTGCTTTGTTCACCTGGATATATGCTCAATGACCAGAGAATCTACATCCAAATCCTTAAGTTCAGCATTACTCTCTGCATGTTTAAGCATGTGCAGCAAAAATTCAGCACTCTTTTTTGGGCCACCGACCCTGTGTCCAGCCCCACTGTTTGGCCTGGGCACACCTACCAACTCCACCATTGTAACGTCAGAATGGTATACACTGTTTCTTTAAAGTGGTACTTCTTTAAAGTATCTTTCAGGTACTTGGTGGCTCTTTGTATGTGCATGCCCTTGATGGCCTGGGCAGTTTCACGAGTGTTCCTGAAGTGAACACGAAGATTTGAGCCTGACTTGCATGATTTTGTGGGGTTTTCTGGGTCAAGTGAATAGCGAGCCATTTTCACAAATCCCCTCAGGCTGCTTGAGGGGAAGAGGACTATGATGCTGTTTTTTAAGAAATTACACCTGACCAGGGAGAGAGAAGGAAGAGGGGCCCTACTGGCCCCGCCACCACTCACCCGAAGAGCCGGTGCCTGTTGAGGGTGTAGAGCAGGTAGTCGGCCATGGTTTCCTCCCCCACCAGGTGGTCCAACACGGTTCCTGTGAAAGCAGGCAGAAGTGAGCGGCTGAAGACAGCCGGCTGTCTGTGCTCGAGCACACCACCCAGTCTCAGCCCAAAGACAACCTTGCTCCTAAGGAGAAGGCCACACGGGGACTCTTCCCTGGGGTGGTCCTGGCCCCTGCTCCCACCTGGCACGTGTCGCGGCCACGTGACCTTGTGACCTGATCTCACTGCCCTGTCTGTCTGTCTAATGCAGAGAGTGAAGGGTTCTCCCCCGTGGGACAGGGTCAGAACAGTGACCAGCACACGTTATCTGTGAGCTATGGCAGCTTTCACCCTGGGCTTGGGGAAGTGTCTGGCAACAACCAGGGCAAAAGCGGTACCAACTGCCGGTCCAGGGCCCCGTGCCCAAGGCAGCAGGTGGAGCCCTGACGGTGGGGCAGACGGGCTCACCACACAGGGCCAGCTTCAGGCCCGTCTCCACGCTTTCGATCCGAGGAGCCAGCACACCAGGCGTGTCCAGCAGGAATATCAGTGGCCGCTCAGAGACCTGCACAGGCACAGAGGGCACGACCAGGTCACAGGCAGCCTCTCACACCAGGCCCGAGCTCCAAGGAAGGCACCTGGAACCCCCGTCGTGGCAGCATCACTTTCACCAAGCTCTAGGGTTCCCCACAGTATTAATATGCATATTTCCCACTTAATGCGGAAAATAAATAAAAGCCCCCGTCTCCTCCCACGGAGAACAAAGGGGATGCAAGGAGGGCGGGCTCCAGCTCTGCCCTGCCCGTGTTGTGGCCCTGGGCAGGGGGGCTCTGCCCACTTGGAAATGGGACAACCAGAGTGCTGCCCTCAGGTCTGGCCTAAGGACCTGGGCAGGGCCTGGCGCATGGAAAGCACCCGGTGGGGACACCAAGGGGAGGAGGGGGAAGGTGTGGTCAGAGGAGGGCAGCCACATCGTGAGCTCAGCAGGCACCACCTGTGGACGCCTGTGCTGCTCTGGCCACCAGGGACCCCACCTGAATTCTGGACATCACAGCTCTGGTGATCCCAGGCTCGCCACCCACCCTGGCGGCTTTCCCTGTAGGGCAAAAAGGGGGCTGTCAAGTGTACAGTAAACACATAAGCTACAGAACGAGCAATGAAACATCTGTACGTGCCTAACACGTCTGTTGATCCAAAACAGAACCAAGCTTCCCAAGGCTAAAATTCATTCCACATTCAGTCCCAAAAGAGCTCACAGCACGGGCACGTTCAGGCTGCCTAGAGGTCAAGAGGCTTCAACAAATGCCAGAGCTGACCTCCCCCCATGCTGGCAAGGAGCTCCCAGAGCTGCTCCTCCCTCCTGCACCTGCCCCGCCCCCTCCCGGCCCAGGCCCTGCCACACAGCCTGTGGAGCCGGCTCCCGCCCAGGAGCCACTTGGGCTCCAGATGCCAAGGGTGCCCTGGACCCAGCTCAGGGCGTGTGCCAAGCACGGACCGCTCAGCCGCTATCAAACCAACGCCAAAGTAATGGAACACAAGTGTCCATGGACAGATGTGGCCAGTACACATGACAGAATATTATTCAGCCTTGAAAAGGAAATTCTGGCACAGGCTACAACAGTCAAGTGTTGTGGACGTTGCACTCAGGGAAATAAGCCAGTCACAAAAGGACAGATACCGCGATTCCTGCACGAGGTGGTTAAGAGTCGCAGAGACGGAGCAGGACGGGGTGGGTGCCGGGGCGAGGAGAGGTGGGTGGGAAGTGACTGCTCAGGGTTTCGTTTTGTTTGGCTTTAGAGACAGGGTCTCACTGTCACGCACTGGAGTGCAGTGATGTGATCACAGCTCACAGCAGCCTCAAACTCCTGTGCTCAAGTGATCCTCCTGCCACAGCCTCCCAAAGTGCTGGGATCACAACTGTGAGCCACTGCACCCAGCTTGTTTATGTTTACATTTACAGTTTGGGGTCATGAAAAAGTTTGGAAAAAATAGAGTGTGCTGGCTGCACAACACTGTAAATGTACTTAATGTCACTGATAAAAAATGACACACTTGAAAAATTTTTCTTAGATGGCTATGACTCTCCAATTAGCACCAAAAATACCTTCTTTGTAAAACAATAGTTCAACATAGTTTAAGGCCTTTAGATTTGAACACTGTGAACAGATTTTTAAATGTATGCTACATTAATGTGAAAAACAAAGCCAATATAGAACTGAATTAAAATTTAAAATGCTTAAGGAAAAAAAAGAGCAGAGGACACAGTGAGTGACAGTGGAAGGGCTTCTGCTTTGACTCAAAATCTGAAAATAAGCCTGAGAGGAGAGGCGCGCCCATGGTGCCCAGGTGCTGAGAACGCAGCTGCCCCGGGCCACCACCCGCAGGACAGGCCCGACCACACCTGCTCATAGAAGTCGGCCTCCCTGCCAGACAGTTGAACCCCATCAACTCCACCACACTGTGAACTCTCTGATTAAAGGGATTTAAATACATGAAAAAACAAAATTTTGTCAAATTTAGAAAAGTCATTCTTCTATCAAAGATTTTAAAGGAAAGAAAAATCAGATGCATAATTTACAGCAGACTGCCTCTCCCACCATCCAGCACTGGCTGGACTGCGTCCTACTGGGTCCTTTTGGTGGAGAGGGACAGCCCCCAAGGTGCTGTGAGTTTCCCTCAGAGCAGCAGCGGGAGCCTGGCCACGCTCCCCAGGCCCATCCTTTCCAGGAACAACGGAGACATCCAGCCGCCAGCCATGGGCACCCGTACCTTTCCTGAGGTGCTGCCTCCTGAGGGAGTTGATGAGGGAAGACTTGCCCACGTTGGGGACCCCGATCACCATGATGCAGTACTCCAGGTTCTGCGGAGGCGGAGGGAGGGTCACAGGGCACACCTGGGCCACTGCAGCCTCAGACCCCAGCCCAACCCAGGCAAGGGGGCCCCCAGCCCAGGCCAGTTCAGGGAGAAGGGAGGTCACGGCACAGCCCTGCCGACCAGCGGGAGGACGAAGTCGGGCCTCCCCACCAGGCCCAGCCACATCCCCGCTCAGGGCCCCACCAACCAACCTCTCCTCGGTGGTAGCGGCAGCTGTTCCCAATCAGTTCCGTGACCACTGGGATGACCTGCAACAGACCAGCCACTCACAGAGCCCCTCCGGTGTCTGCCGGTGCTCCGACCAGCGCCTCCTGCCACCTCACACACCCAGGTCATGGGCTCCAACCTCCCCTCTCATTCTTCAGTCAAGAGAACAAAGACCCCACATCCAGGCTTCTACTTGGTAGTTCAGAGGGAAACCTGGCTTCTTCCTTAATTTCTGCTACACTCAAGCGTCTGGCATTGGGGACTTTGGCTTTGTCCAGATCACAGATGTCAGAATGAGTCCCGGGGTCAGGGACAGCCGTGACTGTAACTACCGTCTAACAAAGACGCATGCCAACCGTGAAATTCTGCCAAACACAACTAGGGAAAGTAAATTCCCAGACTTTCCAAGACCCTGACCCCTTACAATCCCACACTTCCCGCTATCTGAAAACTCACCCCCCTGACGCTGTGCCCCCAGGGGGACCCCCCAGCACCCATGTGGCAGCTGGACACCAACACCCAGGATCTTTTCTGAAACTCCGCTTCTTACCCCCGACACATACTGAACCAGAAACATTAGGGCGTAAACAAAAAGGCCTACCTGCTTGACATTTTCATCCTTTACACAGTTGGTGAAAATGACATTTTTTAGGCCTTCTCCTTCTAAGTGTTGCAGAATTTTCTGAAAGAGACAAGACACTTCCATTTTAAATACTGAGTGAAAACACAGGTGGGTGACACATGCCATTCAAGGGTCTGAGGTTGAAGGTCAGCTCTGCGAGGAGTGTCCATGTGCTCACACCCACTGCAGGCTGACACCCTGGCCGCGAGGAGCTGGGACCGAGGCAGACATGGGCACAGGCAACAATGGCCCCAGCGGCCAGGACTGGGGGTTCGGAGGTGCACAGCCGGCCCCCTGCTGGCCCCAGGGAAGGCGCCATAGAGGACAGGAGGGAGCCCTGAGCAGGGACAGCGCCCTCGCAGTCCAGGCCCCACCAGGGGTGAGGACGCAGCAGACACAGCTGCCCTGGGGACGTCAGCACCGTCTGTGCTCACAGCAAGGGTGAACTAGGCTGCTCGGCAGCTACCGCCAGCACTGAAACCACAGGGTGTGGGTCTTTACTGAGTAATCACACTGCTCTCGTACATTCTGCCTTTCATAAAAGGGACTCGGCTTTAAACTAAGGCTTGAACCCAATCTGATTACAGAGTACAGTATATGCAATGCTGGAAAAGCCCCAAAGTAAACTGAGGCTAACATAAAGTTACTATAATAGCTTTAACATTCAGTGAAGTCAGTGTAAAGCTGTATCGTATTTTTAAAAATCAGTGTTGTATCGTTTGACCAGCTCCTGACCTAAAACTATGATCAATCCTTAAATCAACAAAAGTCATTCAGTTAGTTTTAATTGTTTACTTTTAGTTATATGTTACCATGACTCAAGTTGAGACCAAGCACACCAAAAGCACGCATGAAGCCACTTGCTAAGTGGACAGACTCAGCCAGACCCCTCCTCAGGGAGGCAGACGGCGGGGCCGCCCGGACACCTCCGTCCTGATGCTGCAGAGGCACCTGGCATTGCTCTTGCCTCCGGACCAGGGGAGACAGTGCTGTGCCTCCATACTAGACAGTCACCCCTAGTCCACAACACTAGCATTTTAAGGGCAGAAGTAGCCTCAACTAATAGAAGCAACTAAGAGCATCTGTGATGATAAAGAACTAAAGCTTCAAAAGCAGTGAAAACCAATCAGATCAGACATGTGTGGCTGTCACATGGGAAATGCCTCCTGCCGGGACTCTCAATGAACAAAGCAACTCTGTGGCATTAGTAGATAACGTTTCCCTGGAAACCTGTGTTGTTGGGGTTTAAGTACCTTGAATGTACCACAGTGAACTGAGAAACCTGAAAGGCATTATTGCTGTGGCAACAAAAATTCTACACCAAACAACTTTTACAAAACTGGCTTGAATTCAAAAGATTCTGGTACCTACTCTTTGAAGGATTTGACAACACAGCAAGAAAACCAGAGATGAACACTTGAAAGATGACATTTCCAGAGTGTTCATGTTTCTTTTTCTCTAGATGCCTTGCCCAGGTCTACCTGGGTGTAGAGAAACCCCTGAGCTAATCCACCATCCCCCAGCCAGCCCTTCCAGCTTTGGGCTCTCACGGTGTGCATTCAGCATTCAGCGTTTGGCATTCAGCAGCCAGGCCCAGGCCACACTGGCAAGCCTGACGCCTGGGGCACTGCAGCCATCATGAAGACCTCAGACCAGACCAGTGGCCACTTAAAGTAATTAAAAATTCAGTAAAATGTGAAAGTCACATGTGGCAAGAGCCACATGTCAGGTGTTCGCAGCCACACGTGGCCACCACATGGGACAAAGTAGACACAGAGCAGCTCCACGGCCAGCTCCACTTGGGCTCCAGCAGCACGAATGACCCGCCCCCGGAGGTGCACACACCGTGGGCATCTGGACGGGAAGTGACACGTGACCATGCTGGAACACTCGCACAAAGCCTGGCCTGTCTGGGTAACTGACACTGAGGGAGCCGAGCAACCCTCCAGCAGGCACAGAGACCTGGGAAACAGCCACGCTGCCCGATTACCTGCTGCTCCGTGAGATCCGCCAAGTCCATTTTGTTGAGGACCAGCAAGTGAGGCTTAAGCCCAAGGGTGTCCTGAAACAGAGGGTTTCGGCCTGAAAGTGGGATGTGGCAAAATTAAGGCAAAAACTGCTTCAAATCTTTACCAGCCAATGAATTTATTTTTCCTTGTCACCCAGATTGGCACCACTGTCAGAAGGGCAGAGAAGGAAGCCCAGGCTCAGAGCAAGGACAACGGCCAGCCCATCCTCACATCCTAAGAGCTGCAAAACCAATTCCAAGTCTGCCCTCCCGACTAGGGAAAGGGCACCTTCCTCACCACCACAGCAGGCCACGTGAGGGTCCCAGCTACCCAGTGGCAAAAACATAAAATGAAGTTCAGAGAAAGGTTTTATAACTAAGTCACACTGTTTGGTTGCCATGATACATAAACTCAAAATCAATGATCTCATCATTCAAAAAAAAGTGCCTCCGGCTGAGTGCAATGCCTCATGACTATACTCCCAGCACTTTGGGAAACTGAGGAAGGAGGATCACTTGAGGCCAGAAGTTCCAGACCAGCCTGGGCAACATAGCAAGACCCCATCTTTACACAAAAAGAAAATTAGGTGGGTGGGGTGGCACGCGCCTATAGTCCCAGCTATTCAAGAGGCTGAGGCAGGAAGATCACTTGAGCCCAAGAACCGGAGGCTGCAGTGAGCTATGATCGTGTCACTGCACTCCAGCCTGGTCGACAGAGCAAAACCCATAAAAAGTGCCTCCCATAAAGTCCTAACTAGAATATCTCAAGCCACCACTGCCACCCTCTGTGACTACTAAGGACACGAGGGGTGTCTGCCACCTAGGCCCAGCAGCTGCACCTGCAGGTGGGCAAGTCTGTCCTTCCCCATAGAGACTTTCCTTGAAGATTCCACCTCCTGACTACCTTCCTCAGTCCGCCTTCCCTCCCCACCAGCCAGGAGCCCCTATCTCACATGACACTAACACAGGCAGGAGGCAGCTTTTTGTCTCTATCCTCTGAGCCCTCTGCCTTTCCTGGAGCTACATCTCGCCTATCAAGCCCAGCTGTGACGTTCCCAAGGCTTCTCACATGCCCCACTGTAGGCACCTAGTTAAGCTGCTGGGTCCCACACCACAGAGGGACTTGCTGTGAGTCACTCATCCCTCAGAGGCCAACCCTGTGCTCATTCAGAGCAAGCCTGGAGACTCCTCTCCTCAGACATCAGGGCCACCACACAGGTTCTGGTTCTTGCAATATCCTAGAGAAGGCAGACCAGTGACTGAAGAATAAATGTCCTCTCATCGCATATAGTAAATAATATCTACAGGCTTCATTCTTTAAAATAATTAAATAATTGCCAGGAAACACTTTTGAGCAGCATGAGATATTACAAGAACTGATATACTTACAGCCTACAGCAAAGAAATCCTACATTTTATTGCAAACAACCTTTTGAAACGCTGAAAATGGTTCCTCATCCTCCACTATTTCCAGTACGTTCCAGCAGAAGCTGCAGCCACCCACTTAACTAGCTGTGCCTAGGCCAGCACTGTCTAAGGGTTTAGGTCTGGTGTATCTTCCCCACACATTTCTGTGGTAAACAAGGCAGGCAATAACAACTGTAAGACCACATTTCCATTACATAAAGTGAATCTAAATGTTGCTCAAATACAACAAAAGCAATGTTTGAGAAGTATACCGTCAATGAACAAATCATGACCTCTTGGCAATTCATGCCTCAAGCACAAGAGGAAAACCCCATTTGGCAGGAACATTTAAACTGAGGTTCACGTCCTATCTAGAGAATTCTACTGCTGGGCTGTGCCAGACAGCTTGGGTGAGCCAGGCAGAGGTCGAGATGAACAATGCTATGTATCAATGCACAACTTCAAAAAACAAGCTGCCTGGACCGCACACCAGAGATTCTGATGAACTGTTCTGGGAAGGGGCCCGGAAACTGGTATTTTTAAAAGCCTCCCCAGGTAATTCTAACATGCAATGAGAGTTGAGAACCACCGTTTTAAATGCCAATTAAGAGGTGAGGCTGCTGGCCACCATGAGGGGCTGGCCAGACTAGGGCAGGGTCCAGAGAGGAGGAGGCCAGACAGCAGGTGGCAACCCAAGCAGGCTCCTGCTGCCTGAGGAAGAGGTGCCACCCCTCACTGTGAAGGATATCCGGGCATCATGGACCTCGATGATGCAGTCCACCAGCTTCAGGGAGCTCTGCATCTTCTTCAGCCCTGGAAAACAGAAGGACACCTAAGCAAAGTGACTCGCAGCCTTTCAAGAGCAGCAGATTTAAACTGAACGGTCCAGAACAACACCCCACCACAAACAACCTGAAAAGACAACATGTGAGTGAAGCACGCTAAGTAACAATAACTGGTAGCCATCTGCTGAGTGCCCCCTCCAAGTCCCACACCCATGGCGGCATGGCAGAAGCAGCACACAGCCCTGCCAGAGGGGTGGCAGCATGTCAAGGCCAGGTCCTGTTTCCATCACCTGACACTTGGGTGACTCTGGGTGGAATATTTAACTTGTGTGGGTGTTGGGCTGGACTGTACAACAAAGCAACGCTGGCACATAAAGCCCCTGATGCCCTGTGGGGACGACAATGCTTGCACATGAACACGGCACTGATGTTCCCCAGCCAGGAACAACACACGCAACAGTGTCAGCACTGAGGACACCTGCCATCGATATACGTGAGACATCACATCATCCCTCCTCTTTCCAATCCTCAGGCCCCCACACCAGAGAGTCTCCCCTCTTGAACGCCAGCTTGCAACTTTCCAAGGGGGCAGCAGTGTGGCCACCGCAACACCCAGTAGGGCCAGGCACGTCCTAGATGTCTCGTGGGGCCGAATTTTGACAAACAGTAACGAATTACCAAACATTTAGACAGGGCAAAAAAGGAGTCCGGATATGTTTTAAACGTGTTGCGAAGATACAGCTGAATACTTTACAACTTGAAAGTCACTTCATACACACTATTTCATTTATTCCTCAAAATAACTTGCAGAAAACTATGCCTTTTCAAAAACATGGGGAAACAGGGTTCAGGAGACTAAAGGGGCAGAAGGGACTTGCTAGGAACTGAGACGAGCCCGGTCCACTTCCCACGGCCCACCCTCCCCCAGCCCCCGGCCCCTGAACCGAGGTCGGGGTTGAGCAGGCTCCGCGGAGGGGGCGGGGCGCTCGTGCCGCCTCTCGAGCAGTGGCACACAGACCGCGGGGCGCGGAACGGGCGCCGGGGCTCGGCCAGCCGGGGCGGGAGCTTTGGGAACAGGGGTGGGGAGCAGAGGTCCAGGGACGCGGGGTCGAAGAGCGAGAGTGGAAATAGCACTTCCAGGGGTCGGCGGTGGCGGGTAGGGGCTCCGGGGACGGGCGGCCCAAGGACGACCCCCGCCGGCCGGCTCGCGGCGACCCGGGGAAACGAGCCGCGGCGGCCGAGCCTCCAGCACAGGCGGAACAGGGGGGCCGCGGCTGCGGGCGGGACCCCGCCGGACCTCACCCTTGGCCATGTGGCCCGGGAACCAGCGGGCCACATCGCGCCCGTGCACGGAGAAGTTCTCCCGCCAGCCGGCCACGGCGGCGCGGCACAGCACGCGCGGGGACAGCCTCATGGCGCCGCTGTACCGGAAGCGCTCCTCGGCGGACCGTCCCCGGCTTCCGGCGCTCCGAAGTTCCGCGGCTCGGCTTGCGCGTGCGCACAACACTGCCCGCGGCCGCGCGAGGCCCAGGGTGGGCGGGGCCCCGAGTCGAGGGCGGTCGCCGGGGTCCCGGGCTCTGCGGCGTTTCTTCGGCAAACTGTCCAACTGTTGACATTCAGTACGTTTTGAAAGTCCTGGCTTTCCCTTAAGCATGTCCTGTGTATGTTTGCGACAGAACTCAGCAGTTCCCGGCAACGTCGGGTCCCTTTTCACAAACGTGGATTAAAAACGTCCCATCATTTTAAGTTCACCTTGTAGATGCAGTATCTTCATTTTCATTTCAAGTACTTCAGGTTTTAACGTAACTGAAATAAAATTTTAAGGCTCACCCCCCCCACCACCACCAGCTGACTGAATGGAGCCCCTCGTGGACAAACGAATATCCTAAAACTAAATTGTATGCTTCCCATGTATCGATTTATGACTTTACCTGTAACCCCAGGCTCCCTGGAATGTATAAAGCCAAACTGCGACCCAGCCACAGCGAGTCCAGCTGCCCAAGGCTTCTTGGGTGTAGCTCCAGCTTCGGGTCATGGTCCTCAAATTTGGCTCACAGTAAATTCTTTTAAAATTATTTTACAGGCCAGGCGCCAGTGGCTCACGCCTGTAATCCTAGCACTCTGGGAGGCCGAGTCGGGCGGATTGCTCGAGGTCAGGAGTTCGAAACCAGCCTGAGCAAGAGCAAGACCCCGTCTCTACTATAAATGGAAAGAAATTAATTGCCCAATTAATATATATATAGAAAAAATTAGCTGGGCATGGTGGTGCATGCCTGTAGTCCCAGCTACTTGAGAGGCTGAGGCAGGAGAATTGCTTGAGCCCAGGAGTTTGAGGTTGCTGTGAGCTAGGCTGATGCCATGGCACTCACTCTAGCCTGGGCAACAAAGTGAGACTCTGTCTCAAAAAAAAAAAATATTTTACAGAGTTTGGCTTTCTTTTTTCCGGTTAACATGCATACCCTTCCAAATACTGACTGCAGTTCTGCTAATTAAACCTGTTGATACCAGGCCAAAACGTGCTCCGACAGGTGTTGACACAAACGCAGTAAGACCCTGGCGGACACAGTGGCTCCCAGGAGGATGCCTCTAAGGCAGCTTTGAAACAAGCTCCTAAAATGCCAATGTACAGATTCTCAGTACAAAGATATTATCTTTGTGGCTTTGTTGCTCCTAATCCTCCTAATACTTAGCTGTGAACGTGCCTGGGTTGGGGTTAGGGTTGGAGAGACACGGAGGCTCCCAGGACCAGGACCCCGTCCCGGCTCCCAACGTCTCTCCCACCCAGAGGAGGCAGCCAACGTCTTGCCTGCCTTTGTCCCTCTGGACACAGAACGGAAGAAACCCTAAATGTTAATGATAAAGATCTTTGCACTTGCAGGAAAGCACCTGCATTCCTTCACAGTCCTTGGACCACAGAACCACAATAAACCCTGCTGAATTGCAGTTCCTCTCAGCCATCTGGTGGGCAGGTGTCCCCTGCAAGCCCAGTCCGATGGCACAGCAGCACACACACAATGCTGAGAGGGTCAGGCTCAGGGAAGGCTCCTGGGAAGGGGAGGGGTCGGAGCCCTGCAGGTCCAGGCTGGGGTGCCTGCGCGGAGGGCATGAGCCTGGCTCTGTTGCCGGAGAGGTCCTGAGAAGGGCCCAGGCCCAGGTAGGGCAGGACCCAGACTGGCCTGAGATGCTGAGGCCAGCGGCTCCTGTACATGCCCTTGAGCAGCCCCACACCTGGGGGGGGGCGGCCTCTGCAGGGATCCCTTGCCTTCCTGGGAGAGCCACTCTCCAGATACACCGCCCTCCCCTCCAGGCCCCTCCAGGCCTCAGTGCCCGGGAGGGCTGCCCAAGCTCTCAGCAGCCGCAGCAGCGGGCAGTTACCTACCCAAGTCTATGGTCTGTCCTCGCAGCTGGGGAAATGGGGGCAACTGGCCATTCCCTGGGCGGCTGTGAGGGTGCAGTGAGAAGAGATGGAAGGGCAGCTGGTCACAACACTGGTGCACCCCAACACTGCCTGACACCCCAACACTGCCCAGCACACCCCAACACTGTCCAGCACTCAACATTGCCCAGCACACCCCAACACTGTCAAGCACTCAACATTGCCCAGCACTCAACATTGCCCAGCATCTGAACACTGCCCAGTACCCCAACACTGCCCAGCACACCCCAACACTGTCCAGTACCCCAACACTGCCAAGCACATCCCAACACTGTCCAGTGCTCCAGCACTACCTGACTCCCCAGCTCCGCCCAGCACCCACACGCTCCCATGCCTGCCGTACTCTGCAGGCCTCACCATCTACTCCCTTTCTCTAGGGAGCCTCTTGGCCCAGGTGAGGACGGGGTGCCCCTGCACACCGTCTCCCCAGTGCACCATGTGTGGGTGCAGCGTCTGTCCATCAGCAGGGAGGTTTTCAGCCACACTGGGCAGCCGTGATGACCACCTGGGGGCACCCTAAGGCATCATGGATGAGGGGCATCCACAGGACCTGGGGTGTGCAGGGGGGCCCCAGGGAGGGTCAGAGACACAAGGCCCGGTGCTGACCTGGGCCTGAGGCAGGATGAAGACAACGGCAGCAGATGCCTCAGCCAGAGGCAGGAAGGACGACTGCAGACACGGTGACCCCTACGTGTTTTATCTGCGAGGCGGGGCCCTCAGTGCAGGGTCCTGCATCTGTGTCAGGAAGACTTTGTGGTCAGCCCGAGGACTGCCATTAACAGGCCCGACCCAAGCCAGACTGAAAGTCGTCTGTCAGAGGAAAGGAAGGCCCAGCCTCCCCGGCACCGGGGCAGAGCAGGCAGGGCCAGCTACATTCTGGGCCTGGGCTGCCCCACCTGCAGGCCCCACAGACCCAAGAGGCGGTCGGCCTCCCTCCAGCCGGACAGCAGAGCCCCGTGCGTCGTGGAGTAAAACGTCCGGTGTGTGGCTTCCCCCGCGAACAGAACCTGCAGCTGGGAAGAAGAGCCGCGGTTAGGATGGGGACTTGACTTGGGTCGCAGAGTCTGGGCCGAGAAACACGCATGCACTGACTCACACAAGCAAACCTTCAGGCGGGCGTGAAAAGGAGCCATTGCACCCTGAGTGCTCAGGTGTGAAGCAAACAGGATCACGTCAGCACTGATAGTGATCCCGCCAAAATCACCGAATCCCGTGGCAGGGAGGGTGGGGCAGAGCTCTGTAGCCAGGGAGGGCAGAGTGGGAGGCAGGGAAAACCTCCTTGCTCTGGCGAGACGTCAATGAGCAATGCTGAAACCCGGAAGTTCAAGGAGACACATCTCCAAACAGGCAAACTAAAGGGACCACCGGGCACTGCCTGAGTATCGGGTAATATTGGGGAATTATTGTCAACTTTTAAGTGGCAAAATAGCACGATAGTTATGTGATTTTTAAAAGAGTGTCCCTATCTTTTAGAGATATGCACCAAAATATCTGCGGTGAAATGACATTGCCTGGGAGACATACTTAATGACAGGGCATGGAAGAGCCTGGCTGGGACCCAGCCAGCGTCTGGGGTGGTGCCCGAGGCTCCGCCTCCTTTTGTGTACCTCTGACATTTTCCATGATGTTTTTTAAAAGTGGACATTTCAACATGGTTTTAGATACACAGTAAACTCATAGACCAGAATCAGCTGGAAGCAGAGTCTGGGAAGGGGAGCAGCAGCTACTTGTTTTATTTTATTGTGTTAGCCAGCACTGTGGAACTCTCTGGCTCCTAAAGCTATGTGTGTGTACAATTCTGACAAAAACAATACGTTTAAAAATTCTGTTTCAGGCCGGGCGCGGTGGCTCACGCTTGTAATCCTAGCACTCTGGGAGGCCGAGGCGGGCAGATTGCTCAAGTCAGGAGTTCAAAACCCAGCCTGAGCGAGACCCCGTCTCTACTATAAAAATAGAAGAATTAATGCCAACTAATATATACATATTATATATAATTAGCCGGGCATGGTGGCTCGTGCTGTAGTCCAGCAACTCGGAGAGGCTGAGGCAGTAGGATTGCTTGAGCCCAGGAGTTTGAGGTGTTGGAGGCTAGGCTGACGCCCACGGCACTCACTCTAGCCTAGGCAAGAAAGCGAGACTCTGTCTCAAAAAAAAAAAAAAAAATCTGTTTCAGGCCTGTAATCCTAGCACTCTGGGAGGCAGAAGCAAGAGGATCACTCAAGGTCAGGACTTCAAAACCAGCCTGAGCAAGAACAAGATTCCGTCTCTACTAAAAATACAAAGAAATTAATTGGCCAACTAAAAATATATAGAGAAAAAATTAGCCAGGCATGGTAACTCATGCCTGTAGTCCCAGCTACTCGGGAGGCTGAGGCAGGAGGATTGCTTGAGCCCAGGAGTTTGAGGTTGCTGTGAGCTAGGCTGACACCATTAGCACTCTAGCCCGGGCAACAGAGTGAGACTCTGTCTCAAAAAAAAAAAAACTCTGCCAGGCATGGTGACTCACGCCTGTAATCCTAGCACCCTGGGAGGCTGAGGCAGGCAGATCGCTCAAGGTCAGGAGTTCGAAACCAGCCTGAGCGAGAGCCCGTCTCTACCAAAAATAGAAAGAAATTAATTGACCAACTAAAATACATATATACAAAAAATTAGCTGGGCATGGTGGCGCATGCCTGTAGTCCCAGATACTTGGGAGGCTGAGACAGAAGGATCGCTTGAGCCCAGGAGTTTGAGATTGCTGTGAGCTAAGCTGAGGCCATGGC